GCAGGCGCTACCATGCCCGGCTGATTTTTTTATTTATTGTAGAGATGAGGTCTCGCTGCCCAGGCAGGTCACGAACCCCAACCATTTTTTAAGAGAAGCCACTACAGTCTTTGGATGTTGTATTATTCTGGGAGTACTGTAAGCTCAGTTCTCAGGGAACACTAAACTAGAGTAAGGAGTTTTATATTAATATCTTCCACTATAAGCATTTCCTTCATTCCAGGGAGAGGAAATCAACACAAGATGTTGACTGATTCTCCTGGCACATTTTGTATATTGGGAAAGAGGGAATCATACCTCTTTCTCAGGAAAAGAAAGTTGAATTATTAGGAAAACATCTTGATTCTCTTCCATTTGATAGACCAGGTAAAGGGGTTACAGAGAGGTCCCCCAGATCTGTTGGTGCCTTTCAAAAGCATTGGAGGCAAGTTCTCAAAACTCTTAGGTTGGTGTTGTACCCCTGCTGCTTCACATGCCCTTTCATGTTAAAGATAACTTTTCTTGCTAGAAAGTTTTTCCTGTGACAAGAAATTTACAAGCTTTTCAATCTCCAGACTACTGGATTCTATGCCAAGAACTCATGAAATTATAAAGCACGCTAGGTAATTTCAGGTACTTTAGCTTATGCAATTAATTTTATTTGGATAAAATTAGGTAAACTGATTTCTGGTTTATCTACAGATATAAAATACCATTTCTTCATACCTGTATTGACCTGAAGCCCCATAAGGTGGTGGTTACAGGCCTTCTAATAGTAGATCTCTATTCTTGTACTGCTTGGACCTGCTGTTGATCTCTTCAGTGGCCACAAACCTCAGACCTCACCTTCTGGTTTGAATAAAAAGCTACAGGTTTGGCCAGCAATGTGGGAATTAAGTCTATCATTTTAGAGTCAGTAAGAGAAATATCAGAATGGGGAAGAGAATGTTCTCAGTACAGCTTTACACCCGATGTTCTCATTAATTTAATAGTTTTCAAAAACTGAGCCACACCTTTGGGAGTAATAATATGGCCATTCCAGAGATTCTCTGGCTGAAGTTTGCCTGTTTGTCTTTTCAGCTGCTGTTCCCTTTCCAGATAGCTCCAGGGTATGATGACCTGGAGTCCCATCCCAGTCTCCAGTGTAAGGTTATACAAATCTCAAGGTGTTGGCACTAAAGAATCTAAAGAATAGGCATGCCTTGGGCTTACTCAATGCACCGTTATCCGCTGGGTTATTTGCATTTGATGTTCTCTAGAACCTCCTGGTCTTTTTTTGTCCAACTGCAGGGTATGTTTCCTCCTCTTCTGGGCCTTCTCTGGTTTCTATCCCAGCTCCTGCCCCATGTTTATGTTTAAGACCAAGAAGCATTGATTGCTATCTGAGGCCACTGGTGAGGTATCTGGTCTCTGTTTTGGAGCATTCTATCCATTCCCCCTCCCCCAAATAAAATGTGTGCTTATTCAGTGGTTTCACTCAGGAAGCAAGGATGCTAACCCACTTAATGGTCTGTGGCTCCCACAAAAGTATTTGTGAACTACTGACTGTTTCTCAATTCTACTGATTGAGCCAGAGATGAGAGAAGAAGAAACTTTCAAATCCATGTACTTTGTTGGGTCTCTGGATTTCTGGCTTCTTTGCAGCCTCTCCTAGCCACACACAGACACTGTCTCCTCTCAAATAAAAGTCTAGTGTTTCAGTCCAGGCTCCTGGTGCAGAAGGCCCTGACGGTCTAGGCATTTACTGTGAGGTGGGCAGGAAGCCTGGAGGAGAACTATTTAACGTGTTGCCAGTTATTCAGCTTCCAGGTCACTTTGCACTTCAAAAAAGAAAGCCTAAAGGATTCAACTTAGGAGGGAAGAATTCCTTGTTCCACCCCACCAAATGCAACACTGGTGAGAGAACACCGTAGGAGCCCCAGCGTCTTTTCCTCTGTGGGATCATCAGCAGGGATCATCAGACACCATTGTTTTTGCCTTTCCCACACTTAACTCTGAGCACACAAGTATCAATCAGAGGTGGTGTAATTGGCCTGAGTCTAGGCCCAGTTATAGCTACAGCTCTTAGTCACCATACTGATTTTTAAGGCCGGCTCTGACCCCCCAAAAGATGTGAGTTCCTCTGACCCAATAAGCAAGGCAACTTTGAGGGAAGAGTAAGACAGCATCAAAGGATAAAACCCCATGAGTCGGAACATCTGGATTCCAGGGCCACTTCTTATTAGCCATGTGACCTTGGGCAAGTCATCTTCCCTATTTGTGAAATTAGGTTAGACTGGATAATCCTTAAGACCCCTTTCCCTTTTGCCTTAAAATTCTTTGGAAGATCTGAACATTTCTGAACTCAGAATTTCTGCTCACTTCAAAAATTCAAGAGCAAAATTCTGTTTTCTTCTGGATTCAAACTGTTTAACAGCATATCAAGGTTGACTTCTCATCCTTGTTGGAAAGTGAATTTAATACTGAGGGTAAATTGAATGGTGTTGCGATTGCTTTTTCTCCTGATGGCTTAGGAAGAATGTTAAAACCTGCAGAGGTAGAAGTTGGAGCTCATGGGGAAATGGATACAAAGCAATTTGTTGCAGGCAGCCTTTGGACAAATTGTTTTAATAGGAAAAAGTCTTCTGTTTCATAGGTTTCCTGAACCACCTTTCCTCTGCTCTCTCGAAATGTAATCTGCACTGGTTCTGTACACCCAAACAGCAGACTCATTGCACTTCTGCTTAGCTCAGCTGGTTCATAGTCTTGAACTCTGCCTTATAGCAGCAAGAGAGTTTTCCTTAATAAAAACCTCAATCTTTAGTTCCATTGAGTTCCTCTGCTTTCTGGACTGTCAGAAGTAGGAGGTTCTGGTGCTGTTCAAGATGGTCTTTCCTTCAAAATGGGTCTGCAGAGGAGACTACGAAAGCAATAAGCATTGACAAGCCTGGAGTTCACAAAGCCACATCGCATAGAACAGCTCTCAGCACTTGCAAGACTTCTGCAAGACTGGGTGTGAGTGGAGTGAAAGGACAGAGGCTGTGGAAATGGCGGTGGCCTGTGTACTGTGGTGGGAGAAGGCAGAAAGTCAGGGACTTTGGACGTAGAGCAGGATGGAGGCTGCGAGCCCTGGGAGGAAGGGAGTTCCACAGGAGCAAAGCTTTGGCACCCGGAGAGGTTCTGTCTCACGGGTGATTTCATCCTGTAGCCTCCGGCTGGATGGAGATTTTAATCAGCCTCCCTAATGGGTATTGATGCTGTTAGGAGCAGTAGACCCTATCAGGGACAGCTATTGATCTCTTGTGTTCTGCTTAGATTGGAAAATAGATCAACTTCTTTGCAGTCCAGGAAGTGTCTTTGTCACAGCTCTAGATAATGAGGTGGAGAATCTTGACCGACCAGACAACCAGCAGCATGGTTAAAGAAGATGCATTCACTTCTTTAAGAGCTATGGCTGAGGGCCAGTGTTGAACCCAGGTATGGCTTGCAACCCAGTGTCCCAAAGTCCTTCCTTGGGGGAGAACTATGAGTAAGAGGTAGGTTTGTCTAAAGTTAATGAATGTTCTGACCTTACCTAAAAAGGTGTAATAATTTGGGGATTACTCTTGCTTCTAGATCATGCGCATACATATGCACATTTGCTAGCCC